CTTTCTTTCTTTCTTTCTTTCTTTTTTTAAAAAAAGAACACTATGGAGATATCCTGGGCACAGAACAACAAAGGACTTACTAAAAACAAAATTGATTGACCAAGGTTTATGGCCATTAATTTGTTTTTCAAAAAAAAAGAACACCCTGTTCCTTCCCCTTCCATTACATTTCTGAGAGATAAAATAAACGCTTAGTTTTCTTCCTACTGATACACAAAACACGTATTTTCTGGGCTGAGGATCTAACTTGGGCACCAAACTCCAGAGGGAATCTCAAAAGTCTAATCAAAAACAGAGCAGATTCCAAATAAGGATTTTAGCGGTTGAAAAAGAAACACGCTTTCTAAGCCGCTCTGACTTCTGGCAAGCATCTCCTCCACAGTATAAATAAAATTGCTTTGGTGGCAGATGGCTTTGAACTGTGCTTTGAACTGGCAAGCACGTCTTGGAGGTCCCAGAAAAAAAAGACTCAGCGTAGGCAAATAAGCAGATGCATTCACCACCGCTAATGATGGGGAGAAACCTAGTAAGGTAGTCCTGGACTTACGACCACAATTGAGCCCAAATTTTCTGTTGCTACGTGAGACATTTGTTAAGTAAGCTTTGCCCTATTTTACAAACTTTCTTGCCACGCTTGTTAAACGAACCGCTACAGTTGTTAAGTCGGTAACACCGTGGTTTACGGAAGCTGGCTTCCCCCATTGACTTCGCTTGTCAGAAGGTCGTAAAATGGGATCACGTCAGCCCGGGACACTGCGGCCGTCATAAATATGAACCAGTTTGCCAAGCGTCTGAATTTTGATCACGTAACCCTGGGGATGGCGGCAACGGTCGTAAGTGTGGAGAACGGCCGTAAGTCACTTTTTTCCGTGCCGTCGTAACTTTGAACGGTCGCTAAACAAACTGTTGTAAGTGGAGGACGACCTGAAGTGAAGATGGGCAGATGGCTGCTGTCCTTGGTTCTTTTCCAAGGATTTCAGTGAGCAGAATTGGATAAGGATACGGCTAAATCTTCCGTTGAAAAATAAGCAGGAAAGGGTTTCCACCAGTGGAAGAGGGGATGGGATAGAGCAGAGGTGCCCAACCTTTTGGGCACCAGGGACCGGTTCCTTGGAGAGGTTTTTCCGTGGACTGGAGAGTGCGTGGTTTTGTTGAAGTCCACGAATCATAAAAGAGCCAAGGTTGCCTATCCCTGGACTAGAAGACCTCCAGGATCCCTTCCAACTGTTATTCTGATATTCTGTTAAATTGAGGACTACCTGTATTGTACAAATATGCTAAATGCATTTCCTTTAATTGTATCAGACACCAAGAGACTCTCAACTTACTTTGGATTCCAACTTAACCCAAGGGCTGGGTGCAACTTAGGCAAAAAAATCAAACCCATCGTCCTTATGTTGCCTGTTCCAATAAATTTCTTAGCTCTTAAGTTGATCAGTAGCTGATGTGAAGATAAATAGACGTGTAGCTGTTGGTCTCGTCTATCTTTCCTTCCTCTGCTTTTGTGATGCACAAATAAGGAGATCACAACAGTGCAGAAGTTGAGCAAGGCTGCCATAAACACTGGAAGGCGTTACAGTTTATCACCACCACTATGTAAATATTAACAGCCACAAGTGTTCTCTTTCCTCCTTTGGACCACACGCTCTGTCATGACACTTTACCTTATAGGGCAACCTGTACATGGTAAATCCTTTTTTCCATGCTTGAATGGCTAAATAACAAGCTCTAACCTTAATTCAAAGGCGAATGGTTTTGATCACTGTTTGGAACCCCTGCCCAAAAAAAATAAATGAATTCTTAACTGTTTTCCTCATCTGACTTCCTCTTAATCTGAACATTTACTTGGACTACCCCAAAGCATCTTGCTTTCAGCTCAGAAATGAAGTCCATTACTGGTGTAGAATTCCAGTAAATTGCTTTTTCACTCTCAATGTTCGGATTGCAGCCATTTAGGATAACCCATGGTTTCTGCTGCCTTACACCAACAAGACCCTCTCCCTACAATAACTCAGTCTACAGAGAGTCTGGTTGGGTTTAAGATCCCAACCCTATTTTAATCTCCTCTGGGGGTATAAACTTTATTTTCTGGTAGTTTTCCTTCGGGAATTCTACTGAAGTTTCGGAAGAAACACGAGTTGTGTCGATGCAAACACAAACGTTGGTTACGTCCTGTCGTCCCTTTTAGGTGTTACGGAATCAGTCTTGCCGCTGGAGGTGATACCCCAGTAATTCAACCCTCTGGAATCTGTCTGTTTTCAAAGCTCTCAGCACCGATAGCTGATCTGAACTTTGCAGCATGAAAAGGACACCACGCCAGAAAGAGTTGGCTGGGATCTGGCAAGATCACGTAGCACTAGCAAGAGCACCCAGACTTATATACCACTTCATACTGCTTTTATAGCCCTCTCTAAGTGGTTTACAGAGTCAGCATATTGCCCCCCAACAATCTGGGTCCTCATTTTAGAATAGAATAGAAATAACAATAACAATAATAATAATAAAGTTGGAAGGAACCTTGGAGGTCATCTAGTCCAACCTCCTACTCAGGCAGGAAACCCTATACCATTTCAAACAAACAGTTGTCCAGTCTCTTCTTAAAAACTTCCAGTGTTGGACCATTCACAGCTTCTGGAGGTAGCTTGTTCCACTGGTTAATTGTCCTCACCGTCAGGAAATTTCTCCTTAGTTCTAGGTTGCTTCTCTCTTTGGTTAGTTTCCATCCATTGCTTCTTGTCCTGCCCAGCTGCTTTGGAGAATAGCTTGACTCCCTCTTCTTTGTGGCAGCCCCTGAGATACTGGAAGACTGCTATCATGTCCCCACTTGTCCTTCTCTTCATTAAACTAGACATACCCAATTCCAGCAACCATTCCTTGTAGGTTTTAGCCTCCAGTCCCCTAATCATCTTTGTTGTTCTTCTCTGCACTCTTTCTATCTTTATTGTCACGAAATTAATTCTGTTTACAACAGGTGGCACCACGCTCCTATCTAGTGGATGTTGATGAAACTCTCAACAGTGTGGATCTGCGTGTGGTTGAACAGCCTGACTCTCTGTGGACAGGCCCAACTCACCTGGTATTACCGGGCCACATTTACCTACTGGCAATACGGATGCACAGTACTGGTGCCACAGGCCAATGCTAATAACAGTCCTGAACAAGCCGGTATACCTGACAGCAGTCAGGTAAGTGGGGAGAAGAGTCCAGCAACCTCTGCGAGGTCGGAGAAACTCAGAGTACAAAGAGGGGCAGTCTTCACCTGTAGTGGCAGATGTTCGCGACCGCCCAACAGACTCAACCTATAGGAAGTGTTGTTACTGGTTCTCATCCAAAATTTCATAATATTGTTTGGTCAACATGAAAAAGTGGAAGATGTTACGGGTGTTATGTTTACCATATGTGCAGTTCTATCATTCATCTCTATTGTATTTATTTCCTGTGTCATATTGCTACTGTAAGATTCATCTCTATTGTTCCCATTCCTGTAGTTGTATTCTCTCTCTCTCTCTCTCTCTCTCTCTCTCTCTCTCTCTCTCTCTCTCTCTCTCTCTCTCAGAAAGATGGCTGTTGCACAGTGAGGCCTTGTATTGTATTTACTGACTCCACGTGAAACATTTACCGACCTCGGAAGGATGGAAGGCGGAGTCAACCTTGAGCGGGTCAGAATCGAACTGCTGGCAGTCGGTAGAGTCAGCCTGCAATATTGCCTTCTGCCCAATGAGCCACTACGACGCTATCTAAGTGTGATTACAGTCAGTTCCTGGACATTTTTGTTTAACTTGAACAACCATCTGAAAAGGGACGTACCTGATGACAAAAGGCTCCCACTGCTGCCGCTGATAATCTTCCCTTTGCTGCCCATGTTGGCTAATTTGGAGGTCTTCAGCGTTCCAGTTTCCGTCAGGTCAATGGCAATTTCACTCAGGCTTCTTGTCGCGTGGATTTTGGACTGAGGAGAAAGGAAACGAAGAAATCCGTGACAAAGAAACAGAAACCTTCTTAGATATTTCCTTCTGGGCCTCATCAAAAGCTTTCAGCACCAACATCTTATCACCGACACAGGACAATTTGTCCAAAGCAGGAAGAACCTCGTCCTCCTCCTCAAAATAACTAGGGATGGTCTTCTGCATGACCCTGGTGCTAAATATATTAGATGCTGAGAGACCTGAGGTGATTAAAACCATGGTGGTGATGATGATTATTAGTCTAACAAAATCATCAAAGTGGATTCCAAGGACTACATTTCCCAAATCACGTTTAGCAGTGAAATAATGGGTCTCCATTCATGCCTAACTTCTCACAAGTTCCATAAAACACATAAAATTAATGAGCCATGGCCTAAAACAGGGTTTTTCAAATTTGGCAACTTTTAGGATTTATGGATATCAACTCCCAGAAGTCAACACCTAGCATTCTTCAGCTCTAGGGGTTGAAGTTTAACCCATCTTAAAGGTGTCAAGTGTGAAAAACACTGGACTAAAACAACGAAACATTTCAGAAAAGCTACTGTAGTTTCTTAAGCCATGCTTGCAAATGTTGATGCATCGGAGAGAACCTATCATTGATTATTAATGCTAAAAGCTTCTTGCTAAAGATGATTTTGTTTAATAAATCTCATTCGTTTGGCCGTAACTCAGATCCCGATACATTTTACATAGGTTACCTTTAGATCTCTAAAGTCTATGATAATGACATTAATTCAGTAAAGGATTTTTCCAATTATCAACTCTCTTTTGCAAAGATATGGCAAATTAACACTCCTGTGTTTTTTTTCACATGCAACATTCATTTTCAACAATAAGCGTTATCTATAAATACATTTGCTCAACTCCTTCTTATGGCAGTTCATTTATAAGCCATGTCTACAAGACATTTTTGTGGTTCAGGTTACAATCCTTCCTCTGGTCATGACACACTAATATAATTTTTTTGTAATCTGGGAAATCTCAGTTTAATCAATTCAATTAGCAAATTTGTCTCAAGGGCCTGGTGGCATTTCCGTACCGGCCTTTGATCTTTTTTTTTTTCCATGCTGAAGTTATCAATCCATACATTAAACCCAATGATAATTTTAGTGTCATCTACAAATATAGGTGGTCCTTGACTTAGGACCATAATGGAACCCAAAATTTCTGTTGCTCCATGAAATGTTTGTTAAGTGAGTTCTGCCCCACTTTATGACTTTTCTTGCCATGGTTCTTAAATGAATGCAGTCGTTAAGTTAGTAACATGGTTGTTAAGTGAATCTGGCTTCCCCCATTGACTTTGCTTGTTAGAAAGTCTCAAAAGGGGATCACGTGACCACAGGATGAGGTGACCGTCATAAATACGAGTCAGTTGCCAATCATCTGAATTGTGATCACGTGACCGTGAGGATGCTGCAACGGTCGTAAGCGTGAAAAATGGTCCTAAAGCAGGGGTAGGCAACCTTGGCTCTTTTATGACTCGTGGACTTCAACTCCCAGAATTCCTGAGCCAGCATGGCTCAGCTTGGAAACCTCTCCCTTTCCCCTCAGCGTGGCTGGCTCAGGAATTCTGGGAGTCCACGAGTCAAAAAAGAGCCAAGGTTGCCTACCCCTGCACTAAAGTCATGTTTTTTCAGTGCTGTTGTAACTCCAAACAGTCACTAAATGAATTGTTGTAAGTCAAGGACTAGCTGTATTAAGCAATTGTCATTTTCAGATCAGCCCTCAGAATTAAATAAAGCGGTAAAGAACATTAACTTTAGCTGAAATGGGTGCAAATGGGCTCCCAGATATTTTGGGTAAATTATCAAATTTCCAGAAGGGAAATCCACCCCCCCCTTCAAAAAAATCCTGGAATAAGCATGTTTCTACTTGGAGACCGCTTCTGGACTTTGTGTTTGAGATGGAAAAAATGATAATATGATTTTGGGTTTTATTAGATTGATTTCCGATACAAAAATAATAATAATAATAATAATAATAATAATAACAACAACAACAACAACAACAACAACAACAACAACAACGTTGGAAGGGACCTTGGAGGTCATCTAGTCTAATCCCCTGCTCAGGCAGGAAACCCTATACCATTTCGGACAGATGGCTGTCCAGTCTCTTCTTAAAAACTTCCAGTGTTGGAGCATTCACCGCTTCTGGAGGCAGGTTGTTCCACTGGTTAATTGTTCTAACTGTCAGAAAGTTTCTCCTTAGTTCTAGGTTGCTTCTCTCTTTGGTTAGTTTCCACCCGTTGCTTCTTGTGGCTAGTGCATACTACTATAGAAATGTACAAAGTTGAGATTGGATTTTAATGTCTGATTTTACTGCAACAGAGAGAGTCGGAAGTCAATGCCTTTTGTTTCTTCCCCTCCCTTTCTTCACACCTTTTTTGTTTTTCTCCTTTTTCTACTGTTGTTCCCTCCTATTTGCTTTTGTTTTTCACATTTTATGTTATAAATGAATAAAACTAATAGAAAAAAATCCTGGAATAAGCAAAAACGTTTGGATATACAAAAGGTGAACGAGCATAATGACCGGAAGGAAGGAATTGGAACATTGGCTACAAAGATGTTCTTGGGTTCTATTTTCTTAGAGGGGGCGTTTGATAGGATGGCACTGGAAAAAAATTAAAAGTAAAACACTTCCTCCATATTTACTGAGGAGTAAATCCTATAATATTCTGTCTGGCTTCCTTCCACTCAGCTAAACACTGAATTCTCAAATGCATAGCTGGCTCAGGAATTCTGGGAGTTGAAATCCACGAGTCATAAAAGAGCCAAGGTTGCCTACCCCTGGTGTAAACAGATGCAAAGTTTTGGGAACGTTTCATATTCCTTGAAATGTTCCTCCACCTCTCAGAACTTAAATTTTCTGCAGATTAATTGCCAAAGCAGGTTTTTTTTTATGACCGAAGTAAAACAGATGTCTGTCTTATTAATTGTTTCACTCTTCGTTGTGGAAGGAGAAATGGGATACGAGCACAACATTAAAATTAGGTATTCTCCCCAGCTCGAAAAATGGATCTGGAGGCTCACACTTCAGAGAATCAATTCACTCCTGTCATTAAAGAAAAATAAGGGCTACATCCGTTGCCAAAACATAAGTTGCTTCCTGCTTTCCCCATTCATCCTCTCCTGACAAGGCATCCCTTGGGCTAAGAGGAGAGAGATTTCCTGATTTCCTGCCACATGTGGACTCTACCTCCAGAATAGAAGGCATTTTACTTGGGTTTAAAATGACACCATTATGGACACCATTATGGAGAAAGAAAGAAAGAAAGAAAGAAAGAAAGAAAGAAAGAAAGAAAGAAAGAAAGAAAGGAAAAGAAAAAATAAAGAAAGGAGAAAGGAAAGAAAAAAAGAGAAGAAAGAAAAAGAAAAGAAAGAAAAAGAGAAAAGAAAAGAGAGAAGAAAAGAAAAAGAGAGAAGAAAGAAAGAAGAGAAAAAAGAAAGAAAAAGAGGGAAGAAAAAGAGGAAAGAAAGAATGAAAGAAAGAGAAAAAGAAAGAAAAAGAAAGAAGAAAGAAAAAAGAGAAGAAAGAGAGAGAGAGAGGCAGAGAGAGAGGGAGAAAAGAAGAAGAAGAGGAAGAAGAGGAAGAAGAAGAAGAAGAAGAAGAAGAAGAAGAAGAAGAAGAAGAAGAAGAAGAAGAAGAAGAAAGAAAGAAAGAAAGAAAGAAGTGGTTCAAAAGCAGCTGAAAAATTTAAACCAACAACTTGCAGAATGACCACTGTATTTTCAAAATAGGCCAACTAACAAATATGGCAAGAAATGTTGTAAAAAAAGGACAAAAGTCACTTAACGAATGTCTCACTTAGCAACAGAAATGTTGGACTCAATTGTGGCCGTAAGTCGAGGACCACCTGTATCTCTCAAAGACCGTCAAACATTTTATTTATTTATTATTTATTTATTTATTATAATTTGAAAATGGGGCGGGAAGAGGAATGCCTGAGTCCCGCCGATTGTTGGTTATTTTATGTTTATGTGGGGTTCTGTGGGGAATTTTGAACCAATTTTTCTTTATAAATTTAACCGATATTAATTAATTTTTACAAATTCTTGGGGTGATTTTTTAAAGGGGAATCCGGTCAGGACGAAGCTGAAATAACCATGTCTGAAATAACTATCTACTGCAAAGCGGGTTGGGGAATGGGGGAAAATGCTTGAAAGATTTAGCCAAACTATCAATATGAAAAGCGGATTAAAATTAAGAGATGGCTCCATCCTGTACTATATAAAGGCAACTGAATTCAAAAACTATTTCTATTAACAGTTGATCTGTGAACAATAGCTTTTGATGTTTAAATCAGCTATAAATAATTATGCCTGTGATAATTACTTAGGTCAGGGGTAGGCGACCTTGGCTCTTTTATGACCGTGGACTTCAACTCCCAGAATCCCTGAGCCAGCCATGCTGAGGGGAAAGGGAGAGTTTCCAAGCTGAGCCATGCTGGCTTAGGAATTCTGGGAGTTGAAGTCCACAAGTCATAAAAGAGCCAAGGTTGCCTACCCCTGGTTTTCAAACAGCAGTTAAAAGCCGATGAAATGGAAACTGCCTATTTAGCAGGATGGCCTGTTGGGTTGCCTACCCCTGACTTAGGTTCTTTATTACAGCAAAGGTTCTCCCAATTACTACTGAAAAAAACTACTGGCTGTGCTATCTGAGGTTTATTTTTGCTTTAGCTAAATACCGGAATTGCAAACATTCTAGGAACCCCCAACCTGGTCTCAATTATAAACACCACCTTTGATGAAATAGCCACTAAAAAGGAAAGGAATTTCCTTCCCACATGGATTGATTCATTAGCCGGATGATGGAGTCAGCGTGATTAATGGTGGATTAGGAGACTCTTTTGAAACCTTCCAAATAAGCGATTTCAATTATTTTCAGAGCAAAATGGTTTCCTTCAATATTGGGGCACCTATAAATCTCATTCTCCATGCTCATTTCAGACTTCTCTCATTCAAAAAGTATTTAAAATATTTAAAAACAACTCTTTCCCAAGTCTGCCAAGCTCCCCTTCTAAAGGACTGCATAAAAATGAGCTTCCAGCCACCTTTATTTTAAAAATCTACAAAGGATTCCCAGTCCTCACTGAGTACGTCAATTCTGATGGACTATTCATAGTTAAAGTTTAGTCTCCCATAAGAAAAAAGCTTATAATTGGCAATTCTTATATAAAACTCATACTGTATTTCTGAGTTAGCTTTAAGAATACCTTTATTTCCTAAAAGTAGGAGTCTGAAAATGAACTTCTGAAAGCCAAAAGAGAAAAAAAATACTATATATACATTTCCTACCAAAAGAACAAACATAAATGATTTTGAATATATAATTGGCAATATTAAAACTGCTTTATTAGATATCAGTGATCTCTTTACTTCATATTCTAAATTAAACTCAACAAGATTAAGGTAGTGAGTAAATTGAAGATATTCATAACTGGCTATAATAAATCTCTTGAGTCTGAATTCACCAACGTTGCTATTATTTAAAAAAAATGGCTAAGCTTCTTAGAAAGGAGAAATTCAAACACTGGAAATTCAGAGGTCAGAGGAAGAGGTTTATGAGACCGTAGGCTGATTGATTGACTTGACTGTAAATTTAAAGCACTCTTCAAGCTTCATGTGGAAAAAAAATGCTTTGGAGATTCTGTAAATACACTGAACATTTTTCAGCCCACCCCAGTGAGTCGAGTTCCTGCGCTTCCTAAAGTCCAAAAGACATTTTCTAAATAATTTTGGAGGCCCAGACCACCCAGCTGAATTCATTGGGCTGTATTTCTTAAAAAACAGCAAGAAGCAACTCCCAGAAGGTGACAAGAAGATCCATCAAAACACAAGGGCAAAGCCACTTCTGAAGGAAAGAAACATCACTCAGGGTCACTGTGTTGAGCCAACAATTGCTGATACTCTTTCTAAAACAAGACAGAAGCAACATTTGCAGGATCTCCATGGTAGGGGAGAAGGGGTCTTCACCCAGAGTCCCATGAAATTAAACATGACGTGGAGAAAAGCAGGTTCACCCCAAAGGCAAACATTCAGATTGTTTAAAAGACTCTCAAGTGGGCAGATCCTGACATAAACAGGATTAGCCAAACAATTTACAAGATTCAGAGTCAATGCCTGCTTACATTTTCCTGAGGGTATGAACGACCACGTGAATCCCTGGAGAGCGATTAAACTTCTTTTTAAATCTTTGCTTAGAGCAAAGAAGAAACAGAAGGCTTCATAATACTAATTGTCTATGGAAATTGTCAATCATCCAGGTCATGGTTGTCCCAAAGATGTTTTTTTCAAAAGGCAACTGGACTTTGTTTTTCCCTGAAGAGATTTCGCTTCTCATCCAAGAAGCTTCTTCAGTTCTTCTATCCTACACCAGGCAGCCAAAAAAACACGGTGGCTGGAGACTATCAAAGCTGACACCAGCCAGAGCCCTAGAACAACGCAAAGTAGTGCAAGATCGGAAGATGTGGAAAAAGCTGGTCCATAGAATCATCAAGGGATAGAGAGGTTTGAGACAGCTGTCTGTGGCGGCAGCCAAAAAAGTTAACACAATCCTGGGTTGCATAAACACAGAATCAAAATCACGGGAAATATTAGTACCGCTTTATAAAGCCTTAGTAAGGCCACACCTGGAATACTGCATCCAGTTTTGGTCACCACATTACAAAAAAGATGTTGAGACTTTGGAAAAAGTGCAAAGAAGAGCAACTAAGATCATTTAAAGGCCTGGAGACTAAAACATGCGAAGAACGGTTGCAGGAATTGGCTATGGCTAGTCTAGAGGGAAAAAAGGAGTAGGGGGGACATGACAGCAGTGTTCCAGTATTTGAGAGGCTGCCAGAAAGAGGAGGGGGTCAAGCTATTCTCCAAAGCACCTGAAGGCAAGACAAGAAACAACAGATGGAAACTAACCAAGGAGAGAAGCAACTTGGAATTAAGGAGAAACTTCCTAACAGTGAGGACAATTAACCAGTGGAACAGCTTGCCCCCCAGAAATCGTGGGTACTTCATCAGTGGAGGTTTTTATGAAGAGACTGGACAGCCACTTGTCTGAAATGTCACCTGCCTGAACAGGGAGTTGGACTGGAAGACCTCCAAGGTCTTTTCCAGCTCTATTCTGATTGATTGAATGGATGACATCATCGTCAGAATAACCGTGTTAGACCACAGTATCGAAAAATTAGAAGGCATGTAATACCACTTTTTCAGACTAAAACTTCTATTAAACCCTTCATTAATGCCGCTTAATAAAATGTATTGCTCTGAAAAGGTCCTTCTACCAAGGTCCTTCTCCATCCCTTCTTATTCCATTTTCTTCCAATGTTGGGCTTAAGGACATCCGGTTAGAAGAAGGTCAACGTAAGAGTCCACACTCAGCGGTTCCCTTCCCTCTGCAGCTTATGGTGCTTACCTTGCTCTGCTTCCTGTCCAGGTAAAATTGATGTTGACTAATGGCCATAGCCCAGATGGACTTGATCAAGGCAGGGCAGGCATACCAAGTATGCACAGCAATTCCACTATGTCCGAAAGTCCTCCTGGTCACTGATGCTCTAGATGGACAGGAAAAGAGCAGCGTCAAAGGAGAATATGACTTATGCATTTTTCTTACTGTAGGACAGGGGTAGGCAACCTTGGCTCTTTTATCACTCGTGGACTTCAACTCCCAGAATTCCTGAGCCAGCAGGGGAAAACTCTGGCGCCTTCATGACTTGTGGACTTCAACTCCCAGAATTCCTGAGCCAGCATGGGGGAACTCTGGCCCCTTCATGACTTGTGGACTTCAACTCCCAGAATTCCTGAGCCAGCATGGGGGAAAGTTTGGCCCCTTCATGACTTGTGGACTTCAACTCCCAGAATTCCTGAGCCAGCATGGGGGNTGGCCCCTTCATGACTTGTGGACTTCAACTCTCAGAATTCCTCATGAGAAAACTGTGCCCGTCCCATTGCCAGCATGGCTGGCTCAGGAATTCTGGGAGTTGAAGTCCACGAGTCATAAAAGAGCCAAAGTTGCCTACCTCTGCTGTAGGACACCATTTTGCTTGCCATTACAGGTAGTCCTCAACTTACAACAGTTCATTTAGTTAGGATGTCACTGAAAAAAGTGACCTGTGACCATTTTTCACACTTACGACTGTGGCAACATCCCCCATGGTCACGTCAACAAAATTCAGACCCTTGGCAACAGGTCCCTATTTATGATGGTCGCAGCATCCTGGGGTCACGTGATCACCTTTTGCGACCTTCTGACTAGCCAAGTCAACGGAGGAAGCCGGATTCACTTAACAACCCTCTGACTAACTTAATAACTGCAATGATTCACGTAACAACTGTGGCGAGGAAGGTCGTAAAATGGGGCAAAATTCACTTAACAACCGTCCTGCTTTGCAGTTGAAATTTTGAGCTCAATTGCGGTTGTAAGGCGAGGAATGCCTGCATTAACTTTAAGGGCATTCATGTCCCCTAAGACACGGGTGTCAAACTGCCAGCCCGTGGGCCGGACACATCATGAGGAAACCGCGCCCGTCCCATTGCCAGCAATGGGGAAAAAGTTACTAGATGTCGCGAGTTTGACATGTCTGCCCTAAGGATTTGCTCCTAGATCCTTCTTGCTCTCTCTCCTTTTATGCATCTATATGGAAAAACTTTGCTAGAGATAATTTTAATAACAGGCCATACCTAAAAACAGCATGGTTGGGATTGCATGACTTCCAACTGGCAGTCATTAAGCAATTCATCTTAAAATACCATCTCTTTTGGCTAAAAGCCTAGAATCTTAACTATGTTCCTGCTGGATCCAGATTTCCTAGTTGGCAGTTACACCATGGCTAATCTGTTTCTTTTTTAGTTATTGGATTAATTATGTCAACACCTTCTATGTTGATGTTAATATAATTTGGTATTAAAAAGCGAGGCGGGAATTTAAAATTCTGCACAATTAAATGGCTTCTTGACATGGAATATGGATTTTTTTTTTTTACTGGATCAACAAAATGACATGGAAAATTCCAAGATTCTAAGCAGGCTATGTTTTTGGTTATTATTGTGGTAGCTAAATTAAGTTGTTGCCTTTTCCCAAAAGGAAACACTTTTGATTTGAATATCTAACATTGTGAAGTTTGCCAAACTCAGAAATTGCTTTGCTGGTAAATATCACTGGCTTTTGTGAATTACACCCTTTAAATGGAAGAAAAATTCTTGTTCAAGGTATTCCTGCTTAGCTATAATAAACTCCAAAAAAAACTTAATTTCCCAGTGTGGCTGATCTAAGGGGTAAATTTCTAATAGTGCATGATATAAAGTAGAAATTCACAGTTTAGGAATTTTTTTTTGTGATGGACAGGAACTGACATCAGTTTGAAGGTGACTATATCTTTTCCTAGTTATACCGGTACTCCTTGACTTACAACAGTTCATTTAGTGACCGTTCCAAGTTACAATGGCACTGATAAAAGTGACTTTTTCACACTTATGACCGTTGCAGCCATCCCTGCGGTCACATGATCAAAATTCTGATACTTGGCAACTGACTTGTACTTATGACTGTTGCTGTGTCCTGGGGTCATGTGATCCCATTTGCGACCTTCTGACAAGCAAAGTCAAGGGGGAAACCATATTCACTTAACAACTGCAGTGATTCACTTAACAATTGTGGCAAAAAAGATCATAAAAGGGGCAAAACTCACTGAACAAATGTTAGCAGTTAGCAACACAAAACGTTTGAGCTCAATTGTGGTTGTAAGTCGAGAACTACCTGTAATTTGATCAATGCATTAATGAGCATTGGAGTATTCTTTGTCTCCCCCAATGTGGACAATAGGTTCAATTTAATTCCTACATAATGCTCTTTTAAAAGTCAGTTCCTATCCAGGTGTCTGTTTTCCCAGCCGAATGAAATCCACCGAGATGGGGAAATTGAAAACCAAGCCACCTCAAACAGCACAGAGCATGCCAAATGAATTGTTTGCTTGTTTCCAAGGCAAAAAAAGAAACACAACTCGGGAGCCTTAAGCACCAACACGAAGCTCGGCTTAAGCGATTCCCTCTCATCTGCCTTGTGTTTTCTTTCATGTGAATTCTGCCGATGGTCACTGGCAGATAGCACAGGAGGGTGACATTTTTGGAATTCTTATTGAAAGGAATTTGGCTGTCTCAAATAAATTTAGCTACCACCATCTCGAAGATTATGTACTTGCCACACTTTCCAAAAGGTCTTATGGGTTTTAAAAAGCCACCACCCAAGATGATTAAGTGAAAGTACATTAGGATCTCCAAATTGCTAAACGCAAACTGAGAAAGCAGCGTTTCTCAAGGTTAGTAACTAATAATAATAATTATTAATAATAATAATAGTAATAGTAATAGTAATAATAATAATAATAATAATAATAATAATAATAATAATAATAATAATAATAATAATAATAATAATAATAATAATAATAATAATAATGATGATGTTGGAAGGGACCTTGGAGGTCATTTAGTCCAACCTCCTGCTCAGGCAGGAAACTATAAGTTGAGTGGACTTCAACTCCCAGAATCCCTCAGCCAGGGCTGGGGGATTCCCAGGAGTTGAAGTCCACCATCTTAAAAGTTGCTAACCTTGAGAAATACTGCATCCAATTTACAAAAGTCAGAGGATGGGTATTAAGAGCAGAGTGGCGGCCTAGTGGTAAAGATGCTCACCTCCCATTCAGCAGGTTGAGAGTTCAGTCCCAGATAGTGGCAGATATTTCTGTCTCGGAGGCGCAAAGAGAGAATATCTGCTGGATCCAATCTGGGTTTCGGACTCCATCTTGAAGGAACTTCTCTCTAGCAGTGTGTGTGTGTGTGTGTGTGTGTGTGTGTTGTTCTGTCTGTGGTGTTTATAGTGCCTGTTGTAAGGGGCTTTTTAGATGTCGATTGGTGAAAGCCGTATACAACAGGCACTATAAACACCACACACACAACAGCACACGCTCTGCTAGAGAGAAGTTCTCCGGGGATGGGCTCCAACATGACTCTGAAAGCTCGGAAGACGAAATCTCTGGTCCCAGATTGGATCCTGTAATTTCATCCTGGGAAACATTCACGAGAAACATTCACGAGAAAAGTATCTGCTGTGAACTCTGCATAGGCGTCGGGAAGGGCATCCAGCCAGTAAATGCTCAGCTCCATCCAGTTCTCTCGAATGAAGGGATTACAGGTTCATAAAACGGGAGTTAGAAGACGAGTTTTAAAAGGAAGGTGAAAAATTGCTGTGCCAAGGTAAATATATCATCTTCCAAGAAAAACGAGCTGATTAATGCATGCAAATGAGCCCCTACACCTTGTTCATTTGCATAACTCTTTTTCCTGCAGGAGGAGATGGAAGGAACCGAAAACCTAAATGCCGAATTCTTACTCTGCCAAAATCCAGGGGTTGTGAAATTCACCTGATTTCATCCAGACTTCATCCAATGCTCAACTTATAACTTATTTAACGACCGCCCGAAGTTACAATGAGACTGGAAAAAAAGGGACTCACAACTTGCACTTACGACGGTTGCGGCATCCCCCTGGTCAAGTGGTCAGTGAATGGGCACTTGGCAACCAACAAGTATTTACAATGGTTGCGGTGTCCCAGAGTTATGCGATTGCCATTTGCCCCCTTCCCAGCCAGCTATTTAACAAGCAAAGTCAGTGGGGGGGGGGGAAAACAGACTTATTTAACGACCGTCTGATTTACTTAATGACTGCAGTGATCGGTTACTAACTGTGGCCAAAAAGGTCAAAAGAAGTAATCCTCGACTTACAACAGTTTGTTTTACTGACCGTTTGAAGTTGCAACAGGACTGGAAAAAAAGTGACTTATGACCGTTTTTCACACTTAACGACCGTTGAAGCTTCCCCATCGTCCCGTGATCAAAATTCAGACTCTTGGCCATTGATTCGCATTTATGACAGTCGCAGCATCCCGGGGGTCACGTGATCCCCCTTTTGCGACCTTCTGACCAGCAAAGTCAAATCTGGGAAGCCAGATTCATTTAACAACCACATTGCTCATTCACTTAACAACCAGGTTGCAGTGATTCGCTTAACAACGGTGGCAAGAAAGGTCGTAAAACAGGGCAAACCTCATTTAACAAAGGCCTCGCTTAGCACAAGAAATTTGGGGCTCGAATGTGGTCATAAGTCGAAGACCACGTGTAGTTGGGCATGATTCACTTAACAGCTGCCTTGATTAGCAATGGAAACTCTGGTCCCAATTATAGTTGTAAGCCGAGGAGTACCTGTAATCTACTAGGACAGGGGTAGCCAACCTTGGCTCTTTTATGACTCGTGGACTTCAACTCCCAGAATTCCTGAGCCAGCATGGCTCAGCTTGGAAACCTCTCCCTTTCCCCTCAGGGTGGCTGGTTCAGGAATTCTGGGAGTTGAAGTCCACTAGTAGAAGATAATAGGTAGTGGGATCAATTCAAGCACGGTTAGCCAAGCAGGACTGGATGAGTTTAGTTCAGCGATGGCAAACCTTTTAGAGACCGAGTGCCCCAAAACGCCCCCCGCCCCCGCCCGCCCTTCTGCAGG